GTGTGTGTGTGTGTGTACAGAGGGTGCCAAAAAATCTATACACATTTTAAGAAAGGAAAACTGTATTAAAATTGTAATACTCAACATATACTGATAACCAAAGATGAATACAAGTCCCGCATGACGTCTGCAATGACAAGAGGTGCTCAAAGGGGTTCCCATCAGCGTCCAGACACTTCTGATGACGGCGAACGACTGCTTGGGCAATGCTGACCAAAGTGTCCACTTATGTACATTTTTTGGCACCCCTGGTATATGCACCACATCTTTATCCATTCATCTATTGAAAGACACACAGAAAAAAATCTGGATTTATTTTACAATCAGAGAGAAAAAAAACGAACATGTGGGAGTGGAGATTGTATGCACACGGGCACCACCACAGCTGTAAAACACAGTTTCAGCATGTTTTAACATGTTTTATGTTTGTCTGTAACATGGTTTTGTCCGAAAACATGCCTGTATGTTTTCCCTTCATGGGCCCAGGTAAGTTCTAACGAGACCTGCACCGACCCGGCAAAGCTGTTTCTTTGCTCCACAGATATTGGGAGCTGAGAAGCTTGATGAGTCTAAAGTTTGACACGAAAAGCATTGTTCTGCCTCCTGTTTGAACAAGATTCCTCAGGAAAAACGAAACAGGGTCAGGAGAACCCCCGGGAGTGGTGAGGAAAGGAGAATTGCAGGGGCTCGGATAGGCTCTCCTCGCATCCAGCAATTCTTGATGAAAGCTACACCGTGTCCCCAGGAAGGCGGGCAGGCGATGGATGCTGGCAGGGACAGATACACGCGGACAAAAGACACCATTTTCGTAAACGTTCCTGTCCAACTTTCAAGTGACGTAAAAGCCAGACACTGTTCTGTCCTCTTTAGTCCTCAAGGAATGGGGTGTGTGGTGTCAATGACAGCCTCCCCTGAAATCCCAGCTGTCTGATCTCCGCTTACCTTCTGCCCACGCTGCTTCCTACAGGACACCGCCCTGCCTATCTGGGGCCACGTGAGTTAGGGACCTTAAGCGCCCTGACATCTGTGTTGCTAAAGCTTTGTCCAGTGCTTAATACCGTTTCTTGGTGTAATGGTCTCTGAATAAAGTGATCTTATAAACTACCTGTATTTAACAGCGTCAAATATTATGTGAGAGGTGCCTTTTTTACTAAGGGGACGTCACCGCTCCTAATGAGAATAGTAGCAGTTTAAAAACTGCCCATGGGTTTGTACAAAGTAGATATTGTCATGTAGCCGTTTGTCAGTTTTCCGTGAAGAACTTTGTGGACTTTCGTTATGGGAGACCCTCAAATGTTTGCACTTCAAACGGTTTTACTCATGAAGTCCGAACCCTTTAAGTGGCTTTTCATGGTAATGGTGTTTATCTTACACGGCGAATACATCACATCTTCAGCAAAGCAATTTGTACCGTGCCTGGGTACTCTATCCAATAAGCACACCTAGTCACTTTCATATTGATGTCTCAGCTATAAAACTGGCCTCCCTGATGCTATGAGGATCTCGAATTTCAAACTATTTGACCTATGCCTAGGGATGGTGGTATTTTTCTAAGTGCAAAACGTCTAATGAATATATTTTTGTAACTACATCCTTTGAATTGCCTGTCCAAATTTGTGTGGTCTCAATTTCACGCAGGGTGCAAAACGAGATATATAAATTGCCATATCCCCAAAGATATGGCCTCGTCCCTGGTAGGCAGAGCCCCATCTAAGTGGGTACCTAGCAACGTGACAGTTCCCACTTCGTAATTCATAGTAATGTCGGAACCCTCGGAGATACTCAGGCTGCCCAAAAGTTCCCTCTGGGCTGGTGGCTGCGTAAAGCACAGCATCCAGGTTAGGACTCTGAAAAGATGCTCAGAAAATGGTGAGGCCACAGCGGTGATGGGGGAGCCTGGAACCCCGAGTCACCACCTGGGGCAGCTGCCTAGTCCACAGGTGACTGTCACCTGAACAAGAGCTAAATTTTTTTTAAGCCACTGAGACACAGTAGGAACTAGAGTTAATTACCTCAGCTAAATATGTTAGCTTGGCCACCCTTTATAGACCTGACAATTTGTCATAGCTTATTGGATCACAAAGCGATTTTTTTTAATTAACTGATGCTGCTTTAAATAGAAGCCGTGTGTGTGTGTGTGTGTGTGTGTGTGTGTGTGTGTAATGTGTAATGTGTTATTTTTTAAAATTGTATTGGAGTATGAATGTGTCTACCCTATTAACAAATTTTTCAGTGTACGCTGCAATATTAGCTGTGGGCCCAGTGTTGTAGAGCAAATCTAGAATGTGTTCACCTTCCATAACGAACACTTTATACCCGTTGGTTTTCACCTCCTCACTTCCCCCTGCCCCTGACCAACACCTCTCTGGTCTGTGCCGCTATGAGTTTGACTATTTTGGGTACTTCATATAGCGGACTCAAGCAGTATTGGTCCTTCTGTGATTGACTGACGTCCCTTAGCTTAATGTATTCAAGGTCCATCCATGTTGTTGTATGTGGCAGGATTTCCTTCTTTCTTAAGACTGAGAGGTGCCTATTATCCAAAAAATAAGGCAACGAGAGTTGATGGGAATGTAGACCAATCGGAACCCTCATGCACTGTGGGTGAAAATGCAAAATGGTGCAGCCGCTAAGGAATGCAGTATAGAAGCTCCTCAAAACAATCGAGCTGCCATAGGACCCAGCAAGCCTCCTTCTGGGTCTTTAGGCAGCAGAATTGAATTCAGGATCTTGAACAGATATCTGTACCCCCGTGAGCATTGCAGCGTTATTCACAGCAGCCATGATGTGGAAACAACCTCAGTATCCAACGATGTAGGAATTTCTAAAGGAAGTGTGGAGTATGCCTTAATTCCTCAAACGCTACCAGCCGTATGGAGGTGGGAAAGAGACAGATGGAAGATGCCAGTATAGTGGGGACTACCTCTAGCTGACGATGGCCCGGAATTGCGGAGGAGTGATCTTGCAGCCGTGATGGGAGGGAGTGACAAGGCAGAGTCGAATGCTTTGCACAGCCAACAAGTCGCTGGCTGCTTACGTGCTGAGGTTCTTTGTCACGCATTGCGTTTTGCCTCGTCAGTCATCTGACAATACAAGAGTTCAAAGTGTATTTATTGCATTTGTTGAGGGATGGTGGTATTTTAATGGCAACCTTAAATGGATATAGTTTTATAAATTATCCTTTGACTTCTCTATAAATGTCATCCCCTTCGAAATACCTGAAAAAAGCTATTCCCTGTGCTTTGGTAAAGGAGTGAAGTCAATGTGATGTTTTAGTTTTGTCGGTCAGAGTTTAGTGTTAGGAAAAGATCAAAAGACGACATCAGATGCTTAAGCCAGTTCTTTCAGCAGCCGTTCCAGTACCACCATGTAGCTCGTGTTTAATATTTCCAATTAATTCTTGAGACGCTTGCTTCTCGGGCTTCTCTTGAGAAGTCAGGGTTGAAAACGTTCTGTTAATGCAAAGCATCAGGTCTGTGTTAAAAACCAGAGAGACATTCTCCAGCAACATTTGGAGGGAGCGTTGTCTAGTGCCTCTCGGGGAAAGCAGCAAGTCTGTACAGAAAGGCTGGGAAAACTCAGAGGTTCAAATAACTCAGGAAAGGGCACACACGGCATTTTATCAGACAGGGGACATGCTTCGGGTCAGCAACTGCTAAGAAAAAGAGGTATCAGTCCATCCATTAGCGCTAGTGTCAGGGAGCCCTTGGCCACGGTCACATCAGGAGCAAAGGTAAGGCTCATGCTGCATATCCTGTCCCATTGCAAACCGTCCCTGGGGCCCTGCACGGATGTGATAGCCTGCCATGTGGGATGAGGTTTGCTGACACTCATTCCACCCAGGCTTTGGTGGGTTCATTGGTGCCATCGTCACTGCAGATCTATCAGATAAATGGTACAATCGTCCTATTACGGACGAGGTGACAGATACAGAAAACAGGACATAAATAGACTGCTTGATGCTTAGATTTGTGTAGTGCTCACTTGGTTAAAAAAACAAATAAATGGATAGATTGTTCCGGATCTCCATGTGTGACTGCACGTGTCTACTGCACAACCCCGGGGGTGACATAAACACAGCTCAGTGCGAAGAGTGCCTCCTGCATTTGTGCAGTGCACCACCTGCCCCACCGTGTATAGTAGTGTTGGTTCCATTGCGGCAATGTATCAAACGATGGATCTGTGTCACTGAGAGAACTTACTATACTGATTTGCCTAGCCAGGGACACAGGAGAACACTGTGAATTTAGCCCATGCATTGAACCCACGAGCTGGCATAGAGACTTGAGACTTTTCCAGAGCCAGAGAACTAATCTGAGTGTACTGATCATTCAAAGAGTTGAAACTCATAGTTGATTGATTGATTGCATGCAAATGAAAAGGCACCTGGTTTTGAGTTTATTGGCTTGTTGACTGCTATACAGCCATCGCCAGGGTGTTTGCTAATAGCGTCCAGCTTGTCCTGCTGTCCAGGCACATAGCAGCATTGTGGTTTTGGCGACTTGTGAGACTTGAGGAGAAATACCCCGTGTTACGTCAGAGCCAGGGCCTCAGTCGCCTAGCACTTTCTCAACATCCAAGATAGAGGCTGCTCCCTAGGCTGGATTCAGAGTGCAGGTGACACCAAACAGAGCCCCAGATAACCCATGGTGGACATTTAGGAAGAGCAGAAAATACACCTGTGTTGTATAAGCGACTGAGATCTGGATGTTGTCACTGTGCCATGAGTAAGCTCACCGTGAGTGACTCATGTCATCACCCTGTGTCTGCAAAGGAATTATTATTACATTTTGGAAAAAAAAGAATTCTTCACCACTCATCATCTTCCCTTAGAGAAGTTGAGCTAAGGAATCATGGGATAGTTTGGACACTGGAGTAGTTGAGGCTTAGAAAAACATTTTAGATTGTTGGAAGAGAGGAGAAGTGAGGATGGCTTTGGGCCAGGGTAAGAAAAGAAGAAGAAAAAAAAAACCAGAGTAACGAACAAAAATTAATGTTTAGTTGCAGCTGACCGTGTCTTCAGAAATATACGTACACATCTATCTCCTCACCTTTCCCGAGCAGATATTAGGGAGGTTAACGATCACTTCACTTGTTAGGTCACGTGGAGATTTAGCAACCATCCTACAAGCTCAGTTCCCTTTGCCGTAGCAATAACAACAAGCCCTACTTTGTAATGCCATTTGAAATGTTTAACACGTTTAATCCCGTTTAATTGTATGCTAACATTTTTTGACAATATATTTAAAGTACAAAGATTATAGAGTAGAAACAATAATGCTTATTTCCATGTTGCTATTAGCACTTTGAATCCAAGCGAACCATCTTTTGACTTTTGATCATCTGAATTGAGTTTGCCTCCCCCACACCCTGTTATTTTTCCCCACCCAAATAAATCCTGCTGCTAAAAAAAAAAAATGTATGGTGCTATTATTTTCCTTGACAGTGTTTGAAAGGGCAACGGGTGTTCGGAAACTGTTTAAAACCATGTTGTATAATTTCCATCACAGCAAAGCACCGTTAAAGTTGTTCCAGGATTAAAAATGGTTCTTCTCATGTACACTTGTTTGAATTCAGAGGTGATGACGATTAGAAGTGAACTGCCAGGGCCGGCCGAGTGGCGCGATGGTTAAGAGCTGGCTTGGGACGCCAGAGGGCCCCGGTTCGGATCCCACATCTGAGGGCCAGTGACACTGCCCTC